GTGACCTCTTCCCAACCAGTGGGGGTCCTGAGCATCCCCGGGCCTGCTGGGAATCCCACAGGCCAGCTGCTGGAGCCCGGGCCCATCACTGCCTGGCTCTGGATGTCCCCACTGAAAATAGGCTGAGTCCCTTATACCAAAGCACATGTACCCACGTGTACACATTTATTTTTTTATTTTTTTTTTTTAAATTTTTTTTTCAACGTTTATTTATTTTTGGGACAGAGAGAGACAGAGCATGAACGGGGGAGGGGCAGAGAGAGAGGGAGACACAGAATCGGAAACAGGCTCCAGGCTCCGAGCCATCAGCCCAGAGCCTGACGCGGGGCTCGAACTCCCGGACCGCGAGATCGTGACCTGGCTGAAGTCGGACGCCCAACCGACTGCGCCACCCAGGCGCCCCCCACGTGTACACATTTAAACAGGGTAACAGAAACAACTGATCACACTGGCCAGAAGGGGTGGCTGGATTCAGGGGTGGGAAGGCTTTTCACGGTATACTTCTTCATACTTTTTGAATTTTGAAATATATGAATGTTAACTTTCCAAAAAAAAAAAAAAAAAAAACAGGTAACATTTAAAAAATGCAAAGACCAAATTAACATGCAGCCTGAGGCCATACGAACCCAGAGGAGATCGGCTGTAGACAATAACAGCCACGGTGGCACCAGGAGCGCTCCTGGGAGAAAGGGCAAAGAAAGGAAGGGGCATAGGAGCAGCAGCTAATTGGGGTCCCTGGAAAAGAGTGTGAACAGTGAGAGACAGAGGTGTGTGCCCTCGGCATGACAGCAATTCTCTGGGAGTGTCGCAGGGCTGACTGGACCATGAGAAGATGGCTTACAGTGGTCTGATGTCAAGTTCAAGCTGGCCTCAGTTGAGACACGAATTGTCAATGGAATGGAGCTACAGAAAGGGAAGAAGAGGACCGGAGCCTGAACTACTCGTTCTGAGTATCTGTAGTGTGCTGTAGAAGAATTTATAACTCAGACTCCTTGGGGTAGGGTGTAGATGTGCATGGCTGTGTCCCATTCACTCCTCACAACTCTTGTGGTGGTGGTAGTATTATCCCCAGTTTAGAGAGAAGGAGATTGAGGCTCAGAGAGGTTAGGTGACTTTTCCAAAGTGACACAGAAGATATCTGAGTGAACTGGGATTTGCATCTGGTCAGACGTCAAAGCCCATGCCTTCTTCACCTTGATACACGGGTCTCTAAGCCTCCTCCTGGTCTGGGCAAATCTTGGGTGGACCCCCACAAAGGGTGCAAGCCCAGAGGGGGGCGTTGGGAGCTCCCGAAGGGATGAGGAGTTAGGCTAGCATGAGGGAAGAGGAGATGGGGTGATAAGGAAGGGCCTGGGGTACTGGGGCTGGCTGTCAGGATCCCCAGCGCTCACCAGCCAGGCCTGAAGCCCAGACGCTGAGGGGATGGCAGAGAAGGCAGGTAACCAAAGGGAGGACTCGCAGGGAGAAGGGAAGGCAGCTTGGAGAAACAGACAGAGGGGCAGACAGAGGGAAGTCTCAAGTAAAAAGCCTATACTTGCAAACACTCATCTGAGGGGAAGGGAGTGTTGGCCACACACTCATTCCAAATGTGCTATTATTACTTAAAAAGCATTTCCAGGACACCCACCACTTTGGAACATGCCTTCAGTTGTCTGAAGTCTGTGCTTTCCTCCCCCCCTCCCTTCCTTCCTCCCTTCCTTCCTTCCCTCGTTCGTTCTTGCAGGCAGTGAATCAACAGTGACTGAAAGCCCAACTGCCAGCAACGAATGGTCTACGAAGGTGCGATGTCAATGGCCGCTAATAATTTTTGCACGGGGGTGGATTCCATTTTGTGAGATAGACAGATGGTATTCACAGCCAAGTCTGGTATGCCACCTTGGGCAGGGCTGGGTTCCTGAGCTCACTGCCCAGATGTCCCATAACTGCCTTACCCTTGTGGAGAATGCTCCTTTGGGTTCAACCGGGTATAATTCCAACACTGGCCCAGCAGACCTCATGCCAGAGGGAGCATAGAGTCACCCGGCCCGGCGGCAGCAGAGCTTGGAAGGCAGGTGGAAGGAGGACCCGGAGGCACTCGTGTGGGTGGGGAAGCTCTGCTGTGTCTGTGTCTCACTGTACTCGGTGTGCGGGAGTGCGTGGGATCCAGCTCAGAATAGGAAAAATGTCAGATCTTTATAAAAACCCAGAAGGAGACGGGAGCTATTAACTACGAGTTCTCAGTAAACATATTCTTTTCATATTAGCCTCACAGAGAAAGAAAGGGGGAAGGGAGAGAAGAGAAAAGTGAGCACAAAGAGTGGATGAAGAGCTGAAGGCTTTAGAAAGTCACCAGGAACAGGGGCTGGAGGGGGGCCTGGGGAGTCTAACCAGGAGCCAGCACCTACCCTTGGGTAAGGCTGGGGGAGGCCACGGGTTCCCCCAACAGCTGCAGCAAGGGTGCAGCCGTCCCACAGGCCACGGCCGGCCTCTAGACATCAGTGCTGCCTCAGAAAGGTTGAGGGCAAGCCAAGATATCTACCGATGAAATGACTTGATATCCGGGATTTGCTTCAAAATAATTCATTAGTTGATGTATGTTAAAGCCAGGTGGTACATGGAAGTTCTTTATGCAAATACCTCTACTTTTCATTATACCTGAAATAACAAAGTGATGATAACAAGCAAAAAAAAATCTTTCATTTATTTATTTATTTATTTTGAGAGAGAAAGAGGTGGAGGGAGGGGCAGAGAAAGAGAGGGAGAGAGAGAGCCCCAAGCGGGCTCCTTGCTGTCAGCGCAGAGCGTGACGCAGGGCTCGATCCCACTAACCGTAAGATCATGACCTGAGCCAAGCGCAAGAGTCAGACGCTTAACTGACTGAGCCACCCAGGCGCCCCAGCAAAAGTCTTAACTGGAGGAGCTAAGAAGAGATCACAAACTGCAGGTAGAATGCTAGCAGAGGAATATAAGCCATAGAATACAGGCAGAAATTAATGAGATTTGTGTCTTGGGTTTTCTTAAATAACACTGCAAAACAGGGGTTCTTAGCCAGGAAACGATGTGGGTCCCTGAACTCCCTGTGATTGTGGGCAAAGTGACCTGATAGTTTTCGGCAAGTTTTCAAAGAATCTGTGACTTTCCCCCAGAGGTTAATAAACTGTATTCTCTCTCAAATATTCTATGCATTCATTAGTCACTTGGTGTGTGGTTTTAAGTAGAGGATTATTTTCTAGAACTGGCATATTCACATCTGGGCCCTGTGTTTTCATCTCTTCTCTCAGTCAACCATACCTGGAACAGAGCAAAACTGGCCAACCCCCTTCACAGCCCAGCTCCCTGGGGGCAGCTCCCAGGGCCCCCACTGTCCCTGAGCCTCAGCAGTGGAGGTTGGGGGAAAGTTATGCCCGAGAGAAGGGCAGTCAGGGGGAGGGGAGGCCAGTGAGGCCTTCTGGGGTCTGAGAGAGGCAGGGGGAAGTGGTGTGAAGGCCGTTATCCTCTGACAGACTCACTGGCTTTCGGCTGCGAATGTCCAACAGAAAGCATGGTTTCGAATAGTCTGAGGCACAAAAGCCCAGAGAATTCCTTAGGAAACACCTTCCCGGTCCTCACAGGGTAGCACAACACCCGGTGTGACGTGACTCATCCCCCTTGCCATGAATTCTTTCAAGGAGTCCAGCTCCCCACAAGCTCCCCAGAATGGGCCAAGCAGCCCATCCATCACCCGTCCTCGTAGCCTGGTGGGCAGGGAAAGTGGGGTTAGTTTAGGGGACACTGAGGGTCTCATCTTGGAGCCATCTCCACAGTTAAGTCAAGGCTTGAAGGCCTGCCCCATTTCCTGATACATTCAGGCGAACATTTCACAAGCTCGTGTGAGAAACGGGGACTTGGCCCCTGGCCTTGGGAACAGAGGTGGGAACAGAGGATGGAACACGGGGTCCAGGTATGACTCTGGAGCTGGGGTTCTGATCTCTGCTATCAACTCACTTCAGAGAAGACATCTGAGGGCTGAAGCCGTTCCCCACTCTCCCACAGGAGGGCACAGACAGACCTACAAGGACCCTTGTCTCCCAGCGCTCCTGCCTTCTCCCCCAGGCCAGGCACCGAAGCCAGGAGGCTTGCCTGCCCCCTCAGGTGGAAAGAGATGGAGAAGCTCGGTGGACTCGGCCCATTCCCAGAGCAGGCTGCAGGACCGAGGGTAGTGAGACAGGCTAGAGAAGTTCTGTCCCAGGACACAGCCTGATGAAGGCTTGTGGCTGACGTGCCTCTTTCTGAGCTCTCACCTCAGAAAGACCTGCTCCCTCCTTGCCACCTCTCCACCCCAAGTCCTGGTTCCCATCCTTCTTCCTTTGGAAACCCCACCCCTCAACACACGCATTTCTTCTCAACCCTCCTCTGGCTTTCAGGGTTCGGACATCTCTCTCAAGGGAGAGAGGTGGGAGCACTCCAGGAAGCTCCTCCCACTACACCCCCTTCCACCAGAACCGTGACTCTGAGGGCGTCCTCCAGAACTCAGTTTTCTCCATCTATGCAAACTGTCAACACAGTGGAAGGTGCAGGGCCAAGAGAAAATGCTTGCTGGGAAGTTTAGGGCTGTGTCCTCATCTTTCCTTTACTGTGGTCCCTGCCTCCACTGCCTCCTTCCCAAACTCCTCACAGTGCTTCACACTCTCCCCCCCCCACCCCCAAACTCAGGTCAGGTGGCCTCAGTTTCCTCTTGTCAGGGAGGAAAGAGGGACTTTGTTGTGTCTGGGCACTGTGGCCCTTCCTGCCCAGGAACCAAAAGAATGGGGCTGCAATGGAGACTTCCAGAGACACCCCACCCGTTGAGAGATGTTTCATAGTGTGCAACAGGGCCTCCTTTTATTGCCCACATTGCCTCCCAGAAAGCACTCCAACCTTGGGCCAGGAGAGCGCACAGACTCCATGGGGAGCAGGACCAGGCTACTTCCAGTGGGTCAGCCTTGGGGTTTCAAGACACAGCTGGCCAGATTCCAAGCAGCACAGACCATCGAAGAGTCTCGTTTTGATTTTTTCTTTTAAACTGTGCTTTATTTAGGGCTAAGCTGGAGAAAGCGTCATCCAATAGTTACAGAAGGTTACAAGGAGTTTTAGGGAGTTGAGTGTGAAAAGAGCAGTTGTACTGAACTGCGGCTGTTTTTTTTTTTTTTTTTTTTTACAACATCTGGACATCCTAAAAGGAGGAGCCAAGAGAAAGAAAAAGAAAATTTAAAAAATAATAATTAACTAACAAAATAGACAGAAAGAAAGGAAGGGCAGGAGGCCTAAGAGGAACCAGACATTTGTTCTTCTAAAGCAAAAAAAGGGGAAAATGGTAGGTCCATGAGCCTCCTGGCCTCCAGATGACCCGGACATCAATGAGAGGAGGGTATCAAGGCAGAATGCCAAAGCAAGTCTTCCCAACGGTGCAAATAAATTATAATAAATATGTTATACTTTAAAATATATGTGTTCTTAAATAATTCAGTGTTTTTTCTGATTCTGAGTTTTTTAAGCAATGTCTTTTTTAACTGCTCTAAAGTCATTTACCAAAGATAAATATCGTGCTTTCATTAAATAGTTTTCCTTGTTTTTTTTCTCTATCATTACAATTAAAAGTCCTACAAAATATGCAAATTTATTTACAGAAAAACAGAGCCGGCATCATTTAAACATCCCTGTTTTTCAAAATTCCTTGTAAACAGTTTCAGAAATTCTTCAAAGATTGTTTATTTTTCTCTCTCTTGTTTAAGGTTTTTGTGTGTGTGTGTGTTGTTTAGTTGTTTTAAGATGAATTTCCCAGGTCTCCCTTGCCCGGAAAGTCTCTGGAGCAAGCATGGAAGGCGAGTGAAGCGGCAGGTGTCGAGGGCTTGCGGAGAGCGGGCGAGCGCGCGCAGCTCCCGAGCGAAGCAGGCGAGGGCGGGGCGGCGGCTTTCCCGCGATGGCGCGGCCCCCACCGGCGGTGCGCGGCCAGGAGCCCGCAGGTCTGGGCGAGTCCGGCCGAGTCCGGCCTGGCCCTCGGGGTCCACGGCGTCCGACAGCACTCGCGGGGAGAAGGGATCGATGCTCAGTCTAAACTCTACAAAAGTACAGTCCTACAACATCTGGGATTTTAGCAGTAACGCTAACTTCTATAGGTTTTTTTTTTCCTTTTTTATTTTTTTTTTTTATTTTTTGCTTTCCTCTAATTTTTCTTCTATTATATAGGTATTTTAAACTTCTCCTTTTTAAAATTCTGTACAACTATTATGATTTTAAGAGGGGGAAGAGTTAGAAGCATTTACAGACTTTTCACAACAGTTATCTTGCCTTGTAAGTCCCTTTTGTCCCCTCCTTGTTTTCTCACACTTCACGGTTAATGAGTTTTAATATTTTTGTTGCTTTCCCCAAATATCCACCATTTTGTTCATCTTAACAGCTCCATCCAGACATATAATACAGAAAACCATAGGAAAGTGTCATAGACTTGAACGAGGGTAATCAAAGCGCCTCTCAAAGTATCAAAGAACTATTACCTTGCTGTTTTAAAAGCATTGAAGCATTATTTTTCCTTTTTTTTTTGTTTTTGTTTTTTTTTTTTTTTTTTTTTTGTTTTTGTTTTTTTTATTACATTTTTCATAGAATCGCTCTAAGCTGTTTCAAGAACAGCCATGAGGCAGGAAGGAGGTTTTCCTCCATCCCCCTCTATTGGGCATAGAGCTACACAGCTGCAATAAAAAGTTTGGTCCTTTGGTCCCTAAATAGCTAAAGGAATGACAGATAGAGATGCTCAGCGGCGGCCTCCCCGCCGCCCCCTGGGGACCAGGCCCCACCACACCGCTAGCCCCAGCCTGCCTCAGGCGCCCATGGGCTGGAAAAGCCCCGGGGATCGGTAAGCAGCGTCTCTTCCCTCTTCCCAGCCTTTCAGCCTCCCCATCTGGTCTCAAGTTATTTTGTTTTAAAGTTGCCTTTTTTGTGTTTTTTTTTTTTCTCATTTTTCTTCATCATCTTCTTCTTTGTGTCATATATATTTTTCCCCCAAACACGTGCCCTCTGAACTCCACAGACGCTATACTTTCCTTGAAGAAATGTTACAGTCACAGAGAGTGTCTGGAGTCTTCAGCTTGATTGATATTGGCTGATATGTCAAAGGTGTCATCCAACAGTTCTCATTTATAAATATATATAGAGAGAGGTTTGTTTTTTAATGTAGCCCGTTCAGCATCCTGCCCTAAAATGAAGAAAATCAGGGCTGATTAAGTCAAGAGAGGAAACACAAAATGCATCCAAACACCAAAAGGACCCTGCCTCAGGGGTTAGGGTGGGAGCTTTGGGGGATGGCGGGAGGGAGGGGAGAGACCAATATGAGAATTAGTCATGATCATGATACATAGAAAAGAAATCGACTCTTCTATTCAGAGTAAGAAACCACTGGAGGTCTAGTGGCGATGGTTGTAGCTGAGGTTTGGTTGCTGGGAGAGGGGGTCTCGATTTGGGTTCCTTTAGAGTTCTGGAATGGGGGGATGGCTAGGTCTAAAGGAAAAATTTGGGACTGTGGGATATGAATTCACAATTAAACCGATGTCTGAGGGATCTAGCCCAGATACAATATGTATACAGAAGCCTAGCAAACAAGATAGCAAAAAAATCTAGCAGCCCAGCCCACTCCTCCCCTGCTCGAGGAAAAGAAGCAAGACATCCGTGACATGAATTTCGCTGAACCTTTGCCCAGTTTCCAGCCAACAGCTTCTTTCCCAGGATCAGAAACTATTTGCGAGGCTATGTATATATATGTATATCTGGATATATGTGTAGAATATATTCACCTGCACATATGTGGATATACATGGATATGTGTGTATGTATATGCATAGATACACACATACACACACACACACACACATAATATTTTTCTCATACATGCCAGGGAATTTAGAGGAAATTCGGAACTTCAAGGGAGCGGATGGGAGAACCTAAAAAAGTTAGAACGGATTTCATCATCAAGCTTAAACAAATTAACTCAGTTCTCGATTTTTTGAGTGGTGAGTTTTTTTGATGTTTTGTTTTGCTTTTAAGAAAAAAAAAATCATGATCTGACTAGAATCAGAAGGAGAATGCTTAATCATTGTGAATTAACAAATGAGACTCATCTCCAGTATAGCAAGCAGCTTTCACTTATACATGGGGGTGACTGGTTACATCAAGAGAGTTAGAACTGCAAAGCCCCCAGCTGAGGGGACAACGTCATGCGTATATCAATCCATGCTGGCAGGTTTTTCACACTGTTGATTCAACAAACAGCAAACCGTACACAGCAGTCTAAACAATTACAACACCAAATAAAATAATAATAAAATTAAAAAACACTTGTCAAGGACCCTTTTTCAGTTGTAAACAAAAAGGTGCATTTTGCTTTTGTCGGTACTGTTTTTTCCAAACCAACCAAAAATCCCCCCCCCAACCCCCGGTCCCCCACCTCCCCTCCCCACATTTAATTTAGCAGAAGTGGCTACAATACAAACCTTACAATTGTTACCAGGCTCTCTCTCAGAGGCCTCTGGCTTTGTACTCTAGTTTTTGGTTTAGAATTTTTTTTTTTTTAAATCATTCTGTAACAGTAGAGATTTTGTTTTTGTTTTTGTTTTTCCTTTTGAAGTGAGATTTAAAATAGCCTAACTGGAAAAAGACCAGACCTAGGAAAATGTCAATTGAAAAAGGCCCCCAAATTTCTAGAAAAAAATAAAATCACAATATTTTCAAGTGCAAGTAAATCAACCACGCATAGATATTTTTAAGATGTTTTCCTTAATTTTAAGAAAAAAAAATAATGGTTTGCACAGTTAAATGATCCCATGTTCGATAATTCAGGAATTCATCTTTATTTTTACTATTTTTTTGTTCTTTTGTTTTGTTTTTTTCTCTATGTGACATCTAGAGAAGCATAAAAAACGCTGAACAAGAAAAACCAAACAACAGAAAGTAAAACCACTGCAAGCACCAAGAACAAAACAAAAATGAGCACAGCAAAAAAGATTGTGGCAGCACAAAAGTCAAGAAAATGCACGTGTGATCATGACTGGCCAATCATCAACTGATACAACATCCAAGAAAAACGCTCCAATCACAGCACCTCCACGAAACTTGACGGCAATTGTCATGCAACCGATTCTTAGCCTTGTTACATGACGCCATCATGTCACACTGTGAACTTTGAGTTGATTTGAACTTACGGATGGGGGACTGTTTTCTCCACTCTCATGTGATTACGTGAACTTTATTCCTAGCTCAGCGCGAGACTGTGGTGGATTTGACTGGCCCTGGTTGGGTTGTTGGAATTTGATTGAATGACAAAAGAAGAAAAGATTTATATATATATTTATATATGTAGAGAGAGAGAGAGAGAAAGAAAGAGAGGACAAGAGAGTGTGGGCAAGGGGGAGGGAAGAGGTGGGGGCAGGTCGGGTGGGGTTGGGGAGTGTGGAAGGGCAGGGACGGTTGGGTTGAGGGTGAAGAAGGGCAAGGAAAAGTTAAAACAAAATCAAAAGGAAAAATATTTATACAGCACCAGACCACAGCATCAATCTAAAAGCTCGGATGAGAGAACAGCAGTCAAATCATAAGAGAACTGAAACGAACTCAAAGAATGGAGGAAGCCGGCAGACAAAGGACATGGGCACATCAACACACACACACACACGCACACACACGTACACACACACGGTTGTTTATGCAGACACGTGATCCACTGTGAACAGTAGCAGAACCTCACACAGGGCCACTAAGGGCATCCATCATGCGTTGGGAAGAGGAGGAGGGGCGTGGGCAGTTTGGCAAGAGGGCTAGGAAAAAAGAAAACAGCCCCTCAAGCCACTGTGGCCAGCAAGCAGATCGGGGAGCACACTCTCTGCTTTGTATCATCCACGGTTCTCTCTCCCCGGTTGGGGGGGGGGGTGGGGGGTCACGCTCTCCTCACCCCACCCCAGCCTTCTGTGGCGTCAGCCTGTGGACCAGCAGGGGGAGCCTGTCAGGGTGGCCCTGAATTGCAGGGTAGATCAGAGGCTGGCTAGGGTGACTTGTATCCCAAGGGTCCATCCACGGAGCACTTTGCTGCTGCAGTACTGTCCACACCGACAGCAACTCGGCCCTCCCGCCCCTTTGGTCCCGCCTTGGCCACCATTCCTAGAGAAGGGCGTCTCCACAGCAGGAGCACCCACTGTGTGGTGCTATGGTCCTCTCTCCTCTTCCGTTCTGCCTCAACCCTCTTTTCTCAGAACCTTCAGAAAACGAACATGTTCAGTTTTGAGATGGAGAGTAAATCACATCAATGTTACCGGAATTCTATAAACACGCCTCGGCATCGCTGACTTCATTTCACGATCACTTCGTACCCTTTGCTTTGCTCCCAAGGTGGCCCACGTGGCCAAAGTGAAGCTGCTTCCCGGCCTGTGAAGCCTTAAGAAGGCCCACAGTGCTGACCCGTGACAGGGCTAAATGGAAGACTACAGAGCATCCTGCAGGGTGGGTAACACAGAAAAGGACAGTCCACCAGAGAGGGAGGTGCTCTGGCTGTAGGTCTCCAGTCTCTGCTGCTGTCACTCCTGCTCTGCTGACCTCCCTTACTCCACCTCCTCCTTCTCCATTCCCTACACCCCTGCATGTGTATCTTTCTAGACTGGCCCATCTCACAGGCCCTTACCTGCCTTCTTTACTGGCGGAGCCCCAAGTGGTTGAGGCTGAGTCCCCTTCTCTGTCAGGCATCATCAAATGTTTCCACTTTGAGTTATCTTCTGCACTCCTCACCACTTCACGGTCCTTTGCCCCAACCTGGGGATTTGGGGGTCCCCAGCCCTACCCCCTCCTCATGGTTACCTTTGAGCTTGCTCCCCAGCCCCTGCTCCCCTGCGGCACTCAGGCCTGTGCCAAAGCCTCCGCACCCGGCTTATCTGCAGGGCTCTCAATCCACCGGGCTTCTGCACAGAGCAGACTTCCACCCTAAGCTTTATGTCTTTCTTCAGGGAGTGTGGGAGGGAAGCCTGGGACCTGAAATGTCACTGTGGATAAGCTACCAAGTAGCTGAGGGGTGACCCAGCCTCCAGCTCTGCCTTCATCAAGAAGCTCTCCCTCCACGCCCCCTGCCTGCCTGCCCATCCAAGCCGGGCTCTTGTTCTTCCAACAGCAGATCTCCCTCACTGAGACCGGGGCCCATCGCATGGCCCAGAAGTCCTGACATGCCACATCTCCAGCCCTTCCCCAAAGAAAACCCTTAGACCCACCCAGGATATCCAATGAATGGGCTGATCCCTTTGGGTGGGAGAGGAGGCCTAAGAACCGAGGAGGGCAGTGCCACCAGGTGTCAGCTCTGGCAACTGCAAATAAGGGACCCCCCTGCGGAACTCCCCTCCTTTCCCCAGCCCCCGCCCCCCGCCCTGAGCATTTCAAGGGTGCCCATTCCTCCCCACTGAACTTGCTCCTTTGCCTGCCCCAAGTCTGCCCCTAGCTGCCCTTTGGTGCCTGTGCCGTCCTGGGTCTTGAGGATCCAAGCCTATCACACGGCACCTCCTCAAAGCCCAATGTGGAGAACTCCTTGTGCACACCCTTGCCCCTCACACACACACATGCTTGGCCCCCAAACACAAACACACGGTCACACTCATCCAATCCCTAAGGAACCTCCCCAGGGCTCTGCCGGTGCACGGCTGACTAGCTGGCTACTCTCTTCACTGGGGAGCAGCCGGGCCTCTGCCTGCAGGGGTGACCCCTTCTTGGCCACCCTCTCAAAGATCCTCACAAAGTACAGTTCCAGAGGTGGCAGCAGGGTCACTGACCAGTGAGGGAGCTTGAATCAGGCCTGGGGAGCTCCAACTCATGACCTGGGACAGGAAATTAGCTGACCTGGTCAGCTAAGCCAATTCAGATGCCAGGTTCTAAACACAGCTGGGATCCAGTCAGAGAAGGCCAAGGCCCAAAGCCACGGCCCAGCCCTGTGCAGGTCAGGCCCAGAGCACCCAAACCTGCACAGCTCAGAGCAGACACCGTGCAAAAGCACACTCAGAGCCACAGCCCAGGGCCCGGAAGAGAGAGGACTCCCACTGAGGTCAGACATGCTGTGCAGTGTCCTCCGGCCACAGAAGCACAGAGTTAGGGGTCTGCAAACCTGCCCTCAGCTTGGGGCCCAGCGCATGCTACTGACCTCCGTGGCAGGACAAGGGACTTGGGTGTGCTGCTCACTGGCTGTGGACCTGGCGTGTTTGTATTTCTGCCCAGTCTTCCTGCCTCTGCTTCCTTCCTCTTAGTTTCCTAGTAAAGATTTCTTGGAGAACCTCCCACCTTGGTACAAGATAATGAGCCCAAGCAGCCAGAGGGGCAGGGGCAGCTGGGAAGCCAGAAGCAGGTGGGGGAATCACACCCTCGGGAGACAGCAGGATGCAGAGAACCAATGCGACCCAACCCCACCCCAGCCTACCTGGGCCTCCCCTTATGGAACCTACACCCAACTACGCTCCCTCCAGCTGCCCTGCCCAGGGTCCCTCTCCTCCCCTGGACCCACCACACTTCTGTTCTGGCCAGGCCCTGGCCCCCACGCTGTGACACCGTGATGTTGCCTTCATCACTGCCACTGCGGGTGGCCAGCCAGGCCCTGAGATCTCCTCCTCCCCATGACCCCTTTGCTCCTAGCTATGGCTTGTCCCTCCGCCACTGCTCAGGTCAGCCCTGCCCTTCTGAGCACCTAGGACTCATCATTTACAAACACCCTTTACTGGTCAGTAAAATCCTGAGTATTTTAGCACCTTTTGCATGTTAGTTCCTCCACTTCTCACTGAAGTCCCCCCAGCCCACACCTGGTCTTAGCGCCTCCTTCTGTTACAGCCTCAAGCAGTCTCAGGTTGGGAAGCCTGAAATCCCCTTTTGTTAAAATGCTGTCTAAATGGATTAAAAGTCAGCGTTATTTGTGGGAGTTACGTTACGTCATAGTTTTTTGGAAGACTGCTTAGTAGGGAGGAGCCCAGAGACATGAGATGTCTTCAGGACAAGACTCTGGGCTGGGAGGGCTGGGACTAGGATAACAGTGGGGAAGTTATCACTCTCCTTACTTAAAGGCATTACGAGCACAGCCTCTGTAACTGGGCCACGGCTTCAAATCGTGGCTCTACCACTCAGTAGCTGATGGGCAAGTGACTTCATCTTTTGTGTTCTGTCTTTAAAATGGGATGCTAACACTACCCACGTTAAAGGCAGTCACAGCTTTACCATTACACCTTAGACTTGTTACCTGCAGGAACTGTGCCCCGTGCGCGGTGAGCACCACGTGAAGTCCGGGTTCTCATCTGTCTGGCCTTCACTTTCCCTGGTGGAAGAACCCCTCTGCTTTCTAAACCACACCTCTCAAGCCCTCACTCCAGCTATGACTGCTGGCTGGTTCTACCCTGTGGACCACTTCCTATCTTCTGTGCCAAACAACAAATGTGCCTTACTTACCTCCTCCTCTGCGGATTTCTCTGACCTACAGTTTCTATCCTGGCTTGGCATCTAGGTCTAGAAGGCTCAGACCGGCCACCTTCACGGGAGCCACAGAATACACCCAACAGGGGCCCCTCAGAATCTCAGGGCATGGCCCTGGAGCACACCCCCTCCTCTGATGCCTTCAATACCTTGGTTTCATTAATGCAGAAACGGAAGCCCAACAGGTCATGCCTCAGTGGCAGAGCTAAGCTTACGTTAAGGAAACCTGCTCTCTGTCCAGAAAGGGCTGCTTTCACTGAACGGTCCCCACTCCTATGGAAGTACACCCACCTGCAAGCTGCTTCCTGCGGTCTGTGCTTGCAGAGCCAGAAGCTCGTGCAGGCAGGATGGTGACCCGTTCACCTTTGCATCCCAGCACCAAGCCCGGTGCCCGGCCCGAGAAGGTACCCCACTCGGAATGCATACGTGAGAACACATCTTCACGGAAGCCAGAGACGGGCAGGGGGTGGGAACTCAGGAGGCAAGAGAGGCGGGTTTTGCTTTTCCAGCCTTGCAGAGAGTAGAGGCTCAAGCATCCCCTCTGAGAGGTGAGTCCTGCTGCTCGCAGGTGGGTGGAAGATGGCTGCTGGCGGTGATAGGGTTTGAGGGGGGAGATGGGGAAACTGGGACTCTCCCTCCCAAACTCCAGACTCTGAACCTCCACTTGAATGTCTAACTCTCATGTGCCTGGTCTTTCCCCCAACCCCTCTTCATCTTGGGTCACGGCAACTCTGCTCTTTTAGTCGCTCCAGCCAAAAGCTGAGTGTCATCCTCGACTCCTTCTGTCACACCAGCATCCTTGGCTCTGCCTTCCAAGAACATCAAGAACGCAAACCCATCCTACTGCATCGACTGCTGTCGCCCTGGACTGAGTGGTCTGTGCACTAAACTTCTGCTTGGGGTCCTACTGTGTATCGACACAGCAACCGGTGATCACGCTGAAATGCAAGTGGGTCAATGCCACTCTTCTACTCAGAGCTCTCCGACGGTTCCCCACCACCTACTACCCCGTTTCAGAGGAGTGGCCACGGTCCCTACAATGGTCTATATAGGTCCAACACAGGTGGTCCTCCTCACCTCTCCTCACCTCTCAGATCTCTACTCCCACCATGCCCCCAAGCTGGCTCCCCTCCAGCCACCTTGTTCTGCAGTTCTCAAATGCACCACCCTGCCCTCCCCTTGGAGGCATTGCACTGGCTGTTCCTTCAGATGAAGGACTCACTCCTCCAGAAGCTGGCATGGCTCCCTGCCTCACCTTCCTAAAGTCTTTTCTCGAATGTCACTTTCTAAACAAGGCCTGCCCTAACTCCCTGATTTAACTGTAACCAACAATTCTGACACACTATATAATTTACTCTTGGGTCACATGTCATTGTTTATTGTCTGTCTCCCCTTCTAAGGACAAAGGTTCTTGCCAGTCTTATTCAGTGCTGAGTCTCAAGTTCCTAAGTGGGACTGGTGCACAGTACTGCTGACGGAGTGCAGGGCAGAGGAGCTTGGAGGCTTGCCTTTGGCTTGTGGGTGAGCTGGGCCTACAGGAGTGCACAGCAATGTGGGATACCAGGTTGAAGGAGGGCCTGGTACATCTCCCCCCTCCCTACTTTCCCCAGGAAGCTGCTTCACCCAGGGGAACAAGTGGCCTGGAAGAGGAGTGGGCAGCTTTTTCTCCAGCTGCAAGGCAGAACCAAGACTGAGTAGGGAAAAGTGATGACTGTCCACTTGTCACGGCCTCTTTAAAGCAGGCAGGGTAGCTGGCCCAGTGCTGTGCCATCACCCTCCTCAGCTTCTGCCCCAGACTGACTGAGCTCTAGAATTGGAGGGGTGAGGGAGTCACCTGTCTAAAGTCCACCAGCCCTCAAGATAGGACAGATGGGGAGGGGAGAACCAGGGAGTCTAGGAGAAGGCCCCAGGAGATGTGGACAGTTCCCCCCACCAAAGTTTCCCAGTCCCCGAGCTTGCCACAGGCTCACCCCAGGGTTTTCCGGCAAACAGGATTACTATGTAGACCTGGGTGTACAGGCCCAGGGCTCACCCCACCTTCTCAGCAAGGTTCCCTCACTCCTGCTTCTCTTGGCTCTGCAACAGGGGGATGGCCATGCCCATTTCTGCCGGTACGACCACAGCTCTAGGCCTGTCCCCTAGGCACCCGGTGAGGAGCAGGTCGAGCTGGGCGCAGCGGGTCCAAGGCAAGTGAAGGTTCAGCTCAAGAAGGCCAGAGGAGGCGGCGGGTCCGTCCGGTGTCCCTTCCTCAACCCCCCACCCCCCCGTCCCCGCGCCCCGGCCGCCCCCGGTTACCTGTGCGAGTCCTGGTCTCCCCCGGGGGACGCTCCCGCCGGCGCTCAGTATGGGCGATTGGCGTCTTTGGGCCGCTTCAGCTGCACCTTGAGCCTCTTCATGCCGATCTGGAAGCCGTTCATGGCCTGGATGGCGGTCTGCGCGCTGGCCGGGTTGTCGAAGCTCACGAAGCCTGGCGAGACACGAGGGACGAGGGCCTGGGTTTCCACGGGGCCGCCCCGGCGGGGAGGGGTGGGTGGGGAGAAGGGCGGGGCCCGGGGGCGGGGCGGGCGGCGGCCCCACCCTGCGCTCCCGCCGCGCCTCGGGCAGGAGGGGGGGGGCCTCGAGGCTCCTCCCCCCCTCGGGGCCCCGCCCCGGCCCGGCCTCACGCCCCCCACAGCCCGCGAGCGCGCGGCCCCTCCCGGGGTGGGCGTGTCCGGGGCTCCAGGCCTCGCCGACCGGCGCCGCCCGGCAGGGCCTCCCCAGCTCCACCGCGGCTTTGGGCGGCGCCACTTTCCTGGGCGCCCTCGCCCCCCACCCCGGCCGGCCCCGGCACCTCAGCCCTCTCCTTCGGTGGGAGGGCGGACACACCTGCGGGTGGAGGAGTTTATTGGACACTGTCCTCCCTGACAGGAGGGGGCCTGGCAGCGGGAGGGCACAGAGTGCCGGCCTGGGGAGAGAGAGGAGTGCGAGGGGGAGGGAGGGGGGCACCCCGGAGAAAACCTCTCCACCGCCGTTTCCAGCCGCCCCCCCCCCCCTCGCGAGGGCCCCTTGGCCGCGGGGAGGGCAGGGGCTGACAGTCTGACAGTCCTCACGGCCCTCGGCCCCCCTCCCGGTCCTGGGCAAGGTTGCCCCCAGCCAGGCTCCTGGCAGACACTTGCCTAAATCCAGTCCCACTCGCAGAAACCCACCACTTCGCCCCCAGGGGCTGTCAGCACCTCCCTAGTAACAATCCAAGACTTGGGAAGTAGGTGCTCTTGCCCTGGATTCTAAGCACGTAATTGATGCGTCCCCTATGAAACCCTCACGGTATCTATAATAACAATAGTGGTGTACAAATTAACACTATTAGTAAAACTTAGTTGAGAGCCTTCCCTGTTACCCAGGGACTGCATAAGTGCTTTTCACAGGTTCACTCCTCCCAACATCCCAGAATGAGATACAGAACCATCTATGGCTCCCAGTCACCTTCTGAAACAAGCAGTTCCCAGTTGGGGATGGTAAGGTTCTGAAAGTTAGTTTAGAAGTCACCCTTCAGGAAAGGGTGTCTGTCTCTCCTTCTAAGGACAAAGGTTCTTGTCCTTTGAATGCAACTCCTTACAGAGACTACATTTTACATTAGCATTTCCTAAACTGGCCCTAACTGGTGCCTCTGAAAAAGGGGCTTCTGTGGTCAAGTAGGCTTACCACTAGGCCAATCTGGGACAGTTCAAGGCACATTAACAAACAACACCCCCCCCCCCCCCCTGCCCCAAGTCCTCCAGTAAATAAACCTTTATAGCTTTGTTTAGCCTAGTATCTCCTGGAATTTATTTGACTTTAGAGGCCCTTTCTCTTGTAAAATGGAGTTAGATCCTGCAAAATATACAAAACTAAGTTTGGCGAGGTTCCCATCCTGCAAATGTCTCATTTGGGGTGTTTGTCTCCAAATGGCCTTGAGATATGTAAGCGACAGGTGTACAGACCCCACTGAAGATCTAGCTGCTTTTTTGGCTGTTCGTGGTACATTGGGCCTGTCCGTGACCCCTCCCTCACTCTCCCTATGTGATAACTCTGTCTTTTTACCTCTGCCCTAGACACTGCCTCCACTGGCCTCTTTCCTCTTTCTCTTGTCTCCTTCCTGCTTTCGCTCATGTTTCCTCACATTTGTCCTTACAGCCATGAGCCATCAAAGATGGGGGAGAGGGTGTGTGTACACGCAGTGAATATACACAAGAGTAGGTGCACGTGAGCTCAGATGGTCTTGGTGAGTTGGGCCCAGAGAAACATAACCAACATCTGTGTAAGTCCATATGCCAAAACAGAAGAGATTGCAGGTTGCCCATAGTTGGAGATCGGCATGAGGCATCCTTCTACCTCCTCCTCTCATCTCCCCCCCCCCCGGCGAATCCCTCACCCCACCCACATCTGCGTCGGATGACCACAGTCAAGTCTTAGCAGAGCTGAACAGTTTTCAAAGCTGTGCACTGTAAGTCTGTTACACTGCTCTCCCCCAGATTTAGGAAGGTGGTTGAACTAAATCTTCTCTCCCTGCTGGGACCAGACAGCCTCACTGAGGGTGACAGGTTCCACCCCTCTCTCCTCTGCTGGCCTGTCAGCTCCAACTCTACCTCGCCACCTGCCCCCTGTCCTCAGTGGCTCTTTTTGCAGGAAACACATCTGAGCAAAGCAGAGAAGAGCTGGGAGAAAGACAGAAGGGCCGGAGGTGCTATCTAGGGCAGAGAGGCAGCCACCCAGTGGGGAGAGTGGGGGAGAAGAGGTCCTGCAGGGAAGAAGCCCAGCCTTCACAGAAGAGTTTAGAGTCTCTCGAAGCCCCGGGGGGTTGGGAAGGGTTCCAGGCTCAAGGAAACTTCTCTTCCTCAACTAGTTTTGTTAACTGGTGAGCAGTCAGGGTTGCTGAACGGGGCTCTGGACACCATCTCCCATTGTTGTGGTTTCTAGGACTACGTCCCTCCTCCCAGAGTCTGATCCCCCCATCCCCCCCCCCCCAGCCTTGAGAAGGTTCTTGCCTCACAGATTGTGGGGAGCCATGTGGGGAGGATACCTTCCTGGTGTCCCCCGAGCCCTTCTTCCAACATAGCTACCATTAGCGCTGCACATCAGCTCACAAAGCCCCCTGGGAGATTCTGTTTATGCTTATAAAGAACAAGTGTGGCCTTTGAGGGGTTCACTTTAACATAGGACCACATTTACTCAAAAACGATTCCTCCTTTTGGGAACAAAGGGCGTTCTCGCCTCTCCTGAGGGTTTACTCTGGCAAAGCCCCTCACACACAACCACCCTCCTGTAACCTCACACTGGGCCCTGCCCCTGAGAAATGACTACCAGTGTCCTCATTTCACAAATGAGGACACTGAGGCTCTGAGTTAAATGGCCTGACTTTGAATGAGTGCTGGAGCTGGTTCTCACACTAAAGGCCTCCGGGGGAGTTGCGGAAAACTCAGCTGCCAGAGCAAGAAAAAAGGAACCCCAGGGGCTCTGGGAGGAAGGACTGGGCCCAGCCGGGCCCTCAAGGCAGGAGCGCATCCTTCTCTAAGGCCAGTGGATGTTTAGTGCTAGAAGTCTGTCTGTTCAAGAATAAAGGAAAGAGCCAGAGTAGAGGTATACAGAAGATGATTTTCAGAAAAAGCAGGGAAAAAAACCTTGGTCCTGGAGAATTTAAATAGGCAAATGGCAAGGGTAGTGTCTGGGGCAGACTCCAAGAATGGCTACGAAAAAACGGGCTGTGTTCACAGGAGCCACAGCACAAATGCTCTGAGGTTGAGGCCAGAGACCAAGCCTGCTGGCCCAGGTGCCCAGAGCTTTGTGGGCTCTTAGCAGATGTCTTTCTTCTGATGTAGGGAACATTCAAGGCTCATTTAAAGAGCAAAGGCCATAATCTCCAGTTTGTTGTTCTTACATATGTAAGTGTAATTTGTCAGGAGAAGTATCAGTCCAACAAGGGAGGGGCTCAACCCCTGTCTCTGTCTTTTTCTTTGTCTTCTCATACCCAAAGACAAATGAACTCCTGGGGCAACTCTATGCCCTCCAAGTACCACAAACTTCCTGTGGCGGCTGCCAGAGGGCAAGGGACAAAGGTTCAAAGGTCTTGACTGCTTTGGGGAATATTATCTAAAACCACAAGCCTTTCATGGTTCTGGGAAAGTGGTCTCCAAACTGGAATCTCTTTAACAAGGGCTTGCTGATGCTTCTACACATTTGTATGGTCTCCCCTACACCGTCCCAAGCTGTGATCGGGGTTCCCCAGGTAACACAGGCCCCTACTCTGTCCTCACAGACCCAGGATCTGGGGTTCGACCTGGAGAGCTAAGCTTCTGGCAGACCCAGCTCTGGTCCCATGTGTGGCTCTTCTGGGGACTGGACTCCTCACTCCTCGGGGACCCATGAGTGGATCTAGCCGCGGAGGCACAGCTAATAGCGGCAAAAGAGGAGGCAGGAGAGGAGCTAAGGAGGAGTGGAGAGGAGAGGTGTGGGAGAGGCCGAATTCCAGGAGGTCTGCAGCAAATCCAAACACAGGATGCTCAGTTGAATTGAAATCTCAGGTAAACAATGAATATTTTTTTACTGTAAGTATATCCCCAATATTGCATGGAACATATTGCATATAATATTTGGGACATACTTACACACAAAAGATGCATCCATTGTTCATCAGAAATTCCAGTTTAACTGGGAACCCTATATTTTATCTGACAACCATACTCCAAATCTTCCCAAGTCCCCCATCCCGTCTAGCATCCTGCCGCCACGCACACTTCCTAAAAGCTGTATTTTCCTTCTATTACTCTCAGCTCAAGGACCTCCCCTCATCTCCCTCTGCCTCCATCCCAGGAGCATCCTCGTCTGATGGTCAGTCCCCCCAACACAGCCCCTCCCTCACAGCTGGCCTCCCAGGATCCCTTCTCCCCAAGCCTCCTGCTGGCTCCCTCATTCACTGTCCTTAGGCTCCCACACCCACTTTGTTCTCCCTCTGCAGAGTTCCCTCCCCTTCCTCACTGTTTCCATCCACCTGCCTTTCTCTTTGCTCCATTACTTGGTGCCTTGCAGACTTCAGTGCTGCGGGGTAGGCATGATTTTCATCTAAGCTCAGACCTGAGGCTTCCTGAGGGCAGGACCAGTTTGTTCTTCCTGACTCCTCAGCAATGTGGCTCTGGTGGCCTGAGGGAGTGGTGGGGGAAGGAGGGTTCAGTGGGTGGCAGGAGGGGAGCAAAGAGCAGGGTAGACAGAGAAGGGCGGCAGGGGCAGGACAGAGAGGAGGCCGAGGGGCAGGCAGGATAGGGGCCTCAGCTGGGCAGACCCCCCCACCCCAAGGATCATGCGGGGCATCCACCAGGGCCTCTATGATTGCAAGACGGGGAGCTGCTGGGAGAATGGGCTCTGCTCGATGCCTCCACCACCCTGGCCCAAGGTGACTCCTTCCCCTTCTCAGTGGGTGGAAACTGGGCCTTGTGGCAGGCAGGGGGACCTGTCTCTTGGACTGTGATGGGGGGGGGGGGGCGGGGCGGGCAGGGAAAGCCAAGAAGCCAAAAGAACAGTAGCAGAGAGAAGAGGAGTGGGAGGTGGAGGCTGGGGGCTGGGCCATAGGGAGCACCTGGGGGTGGGGGCGATGTGAAGGAGCAGGTTAAAAGCAGTCGGACACCGGTAAATTGGTGCGAGCACCGCCCTGTCCTGGGTGAAGCTAGTTGGTTTGTTATCTTTACCCACCAAAGCATTTACTTTGGTTAGTCGCCCGATCCACAAACACTTTCGAGGAGATGACATTACCGAAAGGGAGGAACATCTGCATCAGCTCAGCGTCCCCAAACTCCTGGGGCAGATGGTAGATGAACAGGTTACAGCCCTCGGGCCCTGCGGTGGGGGGGGGGGGCAGGGGGGAGGGATGGCGGGGTGGGGGGAAGAGAGAGACAGAGGAGAGGTGAGCGAGTTAGGCAGCGGCAGCAGGGAGGGGGGCAAGGTTGGGAGGGGGGGTCTCATCCAAGATCCAAGGGCGGCCATGGAGGAGTGGGGACTGCTGAGCCCCAAGCCTGAGCTCTGGTCTCCGCCCTGCCCTTGGGCAAGTCACTGAACCTCTCTGTGCCTCAGTCACCTTTGCTGCAAAATGGATCTATAAGATGGTGCCTGGCAACTCGCTCCAGGGGCAGAGCTGACGAGTGAAGGGGGTAAATGTGCCAAGGCCTGGTCAGCCAGGGAGAGGAGGTGCTGAGAACAGGCAGGAGTAGAGAGAGCTGGGGAAAGCCAGGCGGCCACCCTCCGGCCCAGCGCCTGCTCTGGAATGGCCCTGGGCAGCCCAGCAGGCCCGTGGTGCCAGGTGAGAAGCTTCTTGTCACGTCCCACAGCCAGGCCCCAGCTGGTACCTCCCGGCTGGCTGCTGCTTGGCCCATCTTCCTCCAAAATCTGCAGCCACTGCTTCCCACCTGGTGCCCAACCTTCCCCTGCCCCAAACCTCTCACTCAGCCCCAGTCCCGAGTGCAGATATCAGGACTTCTCTAGCCTCCTCCGACAGGTTAGGTGCACAGGAGGGGTTTCACGGCACGGCTCCGTGATTAGCCGGGGTACCCGCAAGCCTTATTACACGGAGCTCCCCATTTCCTGACAGCGGTAACAACCTGCCACTTCTACAGCGTGAACTACATGTCAGGCTCTTCTAAGCGCTTTATATGTAGGTTAAGTCACTGAATCTTCTAGCAGCCCTCTGAGGCAAGTACTGTCATCACTCCCACTACAGATGAGCAAACGGAGGCCCAGAGAGGTTAAGTCACCTGCCAAAAATCACACGGCTGAGGTGAGAGAGCCAGGATATGGACCCAGGCCATCTGCCTCTGAACTCTGTGCTTTCCTCTCTCCCTATCATAAATCTCCGTGCCCAGAAATCCTGAACACTGTTGAAGCCTTTGGATTTCTAAAATTTCCAAACAGCTAAAGAGTTATGTTTTGTTTAAATAACCATAATTCTCAATTTTAACTTTGAAATGGAAATATTTCCAAGATGATTCATCTCTTTCTTGCCATTTTAAACAGAGTATGCTACGTGTTATTAACCTTTTAGAACGTGGTCATTCCAGTGGATGGTTTCCAACCTGTGGAGGCCATGCAAAGCTGCATTTGTTAGAGACATAGAAGAACCGAGGCTCTGACCAGAGACTGGTTGAGACTAAGCATGAGCTCAAAAGTGAAGGCAGTAAGGCATCTATGTGGGCTGTGTGTGGCTGCAAGGCCAGAACCACATCCTGCTTCTCTGGGACAGGTGAGGTTGCCAGGTAACCCAGTTCAGGAGCAAGTCTCTGGACCCTCACTCTCCTCCTTGTTCCTTCCAAAGACCCCTTTGACCACCAAAGCGACCCTCTGAGCGTCTGACCTCCTGGGTCCTTGGTCCCGATCCTGCATCATCGACCCTCAACCTCCCACCCTCAGCCTCTCCTTCCTGGACCACTGTCTCCCAGGAAAAGTGCCTGCTGACGGCGCATTCAGAACCCACGCAAGCATGCTCCCTCACCCATCTCCAGGGGTCCCTGCTGCTGAATCCCCCAAGCTTACCCCATCTCCAGCCATGCCATGTTCTCACTGGTTCATACTCTGAATGCGTCCCTTGATGGTCCCCAGCTAGATGTGAGTCCCCTCCGGGCAGAAATCAGCTTGAAGACCTAATCTAAGCCACAGCTCCTCCAGGACTCCCGCCCAGATTCTCCCCATACCTTCTCTCTTCCAGTGCTCCCTAAGTCTACAATCTGTGGTCTGAGGCTCTTTCTCCTTTCGCTCTGAGCCCTCCTGCCCCTCCCTCAGCACTGCCTTCCTTCTTCCTTCCATCCCATTCTTCAGGCTTCCCTCACTGTCCCACCCCATGTAGCCACCTGCCTTGAACCCGGGACCCTCACTTCAAGTTCAACAGGATGCTTTATGTGGATGTTATATCTATTCAACTTAAAGTCTCAAAGAGCCTTCAAGGTCAGAGCCCACAGGCTCATCCCATCAGTATGGTGTGTCATTGAACTTCACAGGAATGGCTCTCACAGCCCCAGCTTAGCCCCCTGTCCCTCACCCCTCCAGAGGGAGCACACACATTGTCTTCCATCCCCAAGCCCTTCCTGCATTTCCTCATCCGCAGATGGTACAGCATCCAGATGGCATCACCAGCAGGACTGTAAGATCAATCTGGTCCCACCCAGCCTTCTGAGAAATGGGGAAGCAGGGCTCCAGACATAGGAGGTGATTATTCTGGCCACACTGCAGCCCTGGGCAGAGCCAGGATTGGAGCAGCCCCGAGGGTAACCTCAACCCATCTGTGGAGCTGAGAGCCTCCAGGAATTCAGGCATCTGTTGGTTTTCAGGCTCGGCTCAAAGACAAGGTCCTGGAAGGAGGTCTCTCCCACAACCAGTGTGTACAAGTATGTCAGTGACATTCACGGGGGGTGGTAACCATGACAGAAAGGGCCAACCACTGTCATGGCTGGAGGAACACAGCCTTCTTTCTCACCTGTGCTTCATGTAACACTGTGGACATGACTCTGGTCTGGCTGCAGCCCACCCCATGCTGTCTCCCCACCTGGTCCCGTCCCCAAGCCCAGGCTCACCTCATACTTTGCAGCACCCACGCCTTTGTTCCTGTCCTCCCTGCCTTGAGTGTCTGTCTGTCCATATTTATGTGCTGAAGACCTCATCCTCCAAGGCCCCTGAAGCCTTCTCTGACAGCCCTGCTCCCAGCACCATGAGCTCACCCTTGTATGAAACCTGGTTCTGTACACATCTGGGTCCACGATTCACCCCTCCCCATGCCCTGCTCTCCTATGGTGGCTCGTCCTGTGCTCCCGTCAGGAAGAGTGTGGACAATAAAGGGAGACTCCGCATCTGAGAGATGGCTGGAGCAGAGACTGGCCTCACCAGGTCTGGTCTGGGGAGCTGGGCACAGGGGTAGGGAGCTGAAGCTGCTCAGAGATGGAAGGAAGGTATGAGAAGTGCAGAGTGAGATACATGGGGTGGTGCAGAGTGTAAGAGAGGACGAACAGGGAGTAGATGGAGGGTCTCAGTCTATTTAAGGCCAGGGTTAGGGGCTAACCTGTATATTGGTCAGAGAAGCACTGACCTGCAGGCGTGTGTGTGTGTGTGTGTGTGTGCGCGCGCGTGTGTGTGTGTGCGTGTGTGTGTGTGTGTGTGTGTGTGTGTGTTTGGCAGAGTTTAGAGACCCCTGAGCCCACAGGCCAGAGTGATGCAGGGCACTGACTGCGGGCTGAGGGTGTGTCAGCCTAAGGCCAGTGGGGTGATAGTGCCTGTGGGCACTGTGCTCTGGTCTGGGCTTGGACGGGCAAGACTGGGACTCTTGGACCCTGCCCTTCATGGCTCTGCTCTCACTGACATGGCACTGGAAGAGCTGGACTGAAGGGGAGGAGGGCAGGAGCAAAGCAGGCTCAAGGGCCACAGACCAATGAAGGGACCCTCTGGTGGAGGCAGGGCTGCTGGACCCCCCGCCCCCACTTCACCACCAGCGGGCCCAGATGCCACTCCGGACAGAGCTAGAGCAGGCCGTGTTTGCAGGCTGTGGGCAGGGGCCCCACCGCACACTCCTCTGGGTTCCTGTAGCTTGGCCTTCCTGGCCGTGGAGAGGTGATGACACAGATCTCAGCAGCTTCCCAGTGTGTGTCAACTGGGGTGGTGGGCATCATGTACAACTTTGGAGGGATGACGGTTTGGTGAAGGAAAGGCTGTGTGCACAGCGAGAAATCCATAGGAAATTTCTGGACTTCTGAGTCAGACGTGAGCTTTGAGTTTCATGCTTCTCTAGCAACTAATCCTCACTGTTCTCATTTTATAGGTAAGGACATCAAGGGAAAGGGGAAGAAGGTGGCCATAAGCTGGGAGTCAGATCCAGATGGATTTGCTTAGAAGTCCAGGTTCTCAGCCATCTGGGGCATGTTTGGGGCCCGTCCGACCAATGCGTTAGGACTAGCAGACCCCGGGGTCCTTTCCAGGGCTAACCCACATCTCCTGGCTCTGGGGACCTATGCTGCAGGGACTATGAGCTGCTTATCTGGAGACCATCAGAATCCTCTGGCCAAATGGGCTCCTGGGACAGATACAGTGGCCTCACTGGTGGGTAACCCTTTTCATGGGCTGGGGAAGGCAAGACCTTGTTCATATCCCTCCCCCCCCCCCCCACTGGGCTCTCTGTGAGCATGCCCATAGAATCCTGAGGGTGGGCTTATTTATCCAGCTCCCTGTGGGTCTCTAGTCTCTGGAACAGGAAGACACTGAGGGTCTTTATCAGATCCCAGCCTCCCAAACCCCACTGGCCTTGCCTGCCCTGTGCACACCAGGGCCTCTGGATGTGACTTTCCAGGCACCTCTCCTTCCACTAGGCTGCACAGAGGCACTCCCACTCCCGCACCTGCCTGTGGAGTCTCACCCTGGGAGCTCCAGCTGGGAGCACCCAGAGGATACAAGTTCTCCTGTCCGTGATGAACAGGTCTCCCTACTCCGGCCCCGAGGTGAGAATTCCTACTTCTCCCCTTCCTCTCCACTGGCCAAATCCTGCCCATCAGGGGATGGGGGATTCTTGGACCCCCACCTCTTCCAGGGATCCACCTTCCTGCCCTCTTGCCACTTGGGTTTCCAGAGCTGCCCTTGAGAAGCCCACCTCCATGTTTGGATTGGAAAATGCACCATGTCACGATCAGGCTGTCTTCCCTCACCCTCCTCAACACCACACACAAACATGGTCACCTTTCAAACGAAACACCCCAGCCGAAGGCCCAGGTGAGCAGCCCCTTTGGGGACAGAAGGGGGTGGGGAGGGGCCTAGGAGCCCCAGCTCAAAAACTCACCTTCTCTCTGTTGCTGGGGGATCATTGGAGGTGGCTGAGGAAAGGCCTGGCTTATCTGACCATAGGCAGCAGGGTAGGCGGCTGCTGGAGGGCCAAAGAGAAGAGGCGAGAGGAGAGACAGCAACAGTGACATGGAGAGAGACAGAGTGAGAGGCAGGAAGAAAGAGAGAAACTTCAGTGTTGAGCAGTAAAAGCAGACCAGCCAAAAGGGGCGTTTTAGCTTAGCCACTTAAGATAAAGCCAGTTCAGCAGTGTGTGTGTGTGTGTGTGTGTGTGTGTGTGCACGCGTGCATGCAGTTGGGGGCAGGCAAACTTATTCTGAAAAAAATGGAGCACCCGCATTTGTGGATAATCCACAATAACGGACCATCAAAAACATTGGAGTGCCCGCACAAGATCACCCACACCACCAGGAATCCCCATTCCTTGAGCCAGGGCTGACTCTGGCACCTGTACCCTCCTCCCACTCAGATGGCACCTGTGTGGGAGGTGGGGTGCCACCCTACGTATGAGCTTGGCCTCTGGGATCCTGCCAGGGGGTGGTTCTCAGGGGCAAAGGACTCAGTTGGCCAAACTTGGTACTTTCTGGGTTCAATTGGAAAGGGTCAGAGGTGGAACAGGAATGGCCAGTCCCTGTCCCCAGCCTGGCCTGCCTCCAAAGGTACAGGATCTGAGGTCAGAGTTCAAGGGTCCCAGCAGGTGAGAGAGCTTCCCCTGACCTCCAGATGTGAGAGGCCAGCTTCACCAGAGTCCCCATATTGCCCTAAGGAGAGATATCGCTGGCTCTTTCTGACCTGGCCAGACAGCAGGAGACTGGCTGGGCAGAGATGATTATGGTGTGTGTGTGTGTGTGTGTGTGTGTGTCTGTGTGTGTGTGTGTGTGTGTGTGTGTGTGAAAGACAGACAGAGGATAATGACTGATAACTTGCCTTGGGCTTCCTACAGTGGCTGATCACCTCCCCACTCAGTGACCTAAGGCCATCTGCTGGCCCCAAGGCTATCTCTTCTCACTTCTTTTTTTCTACCTCTGGCTGCCTATGTCCCCTCGCTGGAGCCCCATTCCTGCTGCCTGGATGTGGATGGGGGAAGGAGCAGAACTGCTTCTCTTCCAGGGTCGCTCCTTCCCTCAAACCCAGGCATCTACATTTGCCAGACCAGTGACTGTGAATTCTGGCCTCTCCCCCAGCACAAACCAGCCCTGGAAGCACCAAGGTTGGGAGGAAAGTCCGGCCTCAGAGCCGAGTATCTGCGCAGAGCTTCAGCCTGGCTCACCTACTCGTGTGAAGTTCTGACCACCCACCGCTGCAAAGGGTACCGGCCATCAGAAGTAAACTCTGCCTGAATGCTGGGGGCTCGTAGAAGGGGAGCGGGTCCTCTCCCAGGATACCCTTCCCGCCCCTCCCACTCCTCCCCCTCCCCTCCCCAGCTCCGGGCCCAGGCCTGGGGAGGAAAGGGGGCATTGGTGCCCCAGGTGTGGGGACGTGAGGATACTAACGACCTGCATACTGCTGCACTCCAGCGTAGGCCTGCTGCAGGGGGTCCGCGGCGGTGGGGCTCTGTGCTGCAGGGGAGCCAAGGGAGCAGAAGTCAGCGATGCCCACCCAGACCAGCCTCTCCCCCGCCGTGCCCGGGGAGATGATGCCTCGGCGGCACTGCCCTTCCCAGCCACTGTGGCGTCTGCCCCCACCCTGCCTGGGGGCTGGGGGACTCAGGCTGCAGCCGGCTTGGGGAGGGGTGGGGTGGGGTGGGATGGGTCGCTCATGAAGAAGGCTGTGAAGGGACGGGAAGGAGATGCCAGAGGAGGGCTCCACCATGAGGGGCTTGGTGGGAAGATACCTGAGCGACCTGGTCCTGGATGAGGGCTGTGGGAAAACGGGTGAGGAGGCTAGAGGTTACCAAGAGGGTGGTCTCCTCCTCACTTATCCCCAACACAAGTCAGGGGCAGATCCCAGCTGGGTGAAATGAAGGGCATGGGAGGCTTCATCCTGCCACACTGTCCTCCTGGGCCACCCGTGCTGCTCAAACACAGGGACCTCTCCTTTATCCTTAGGGAGTTTGCACAAGGCAAGGAGGCCTTGCACTCTGAGGTCACGCCCGAGACACATTCAGCAGGAACTGGCCACACAAATGAGGTCTGCCCCATGTGGCCCCAAAAACTGAAGAACCACAAGACCAAGGACCTTCCTCCCACCTGATCTCGTGAGTCTGGGCTGTCTACTGCCCAGTGTAAGGAGAGGAGCCTTAGGCTGATACTCTGGCAAGCAACCTGGGGAAGCTGGACTGGGGCAAAGGCTTGGCCCATTTCTGTTGCCTCTGTTGTGTCTACAGGTGCTGCGGGTAAAAGCCCGGCGAATGTGAGCACTGCCTCTGGTGACCAAGGCCACCCACTGATGACTGACGTGGTAGGGGGCTGGCCCTGGAGGCCCAGGTTGGTGAGTGGGGACCCAGACAGATCCAGCCTCAATATGTCCAAGGCAGAGTGGATAACGCAGCAAGGCAGGGAGACAATTATCTGGGCTTATATCTGCCTGGCAACCCAGGCCAGCCAGCTGGCTGGTAGTGCTAGGCTTTGGGGCCTGCAAACCAGGAAGAATTCCCAAACTTCCTTTCTGAGCTCTTGTCCCTAAACCTCTCGGTAACCTTCCACTAGAACAACAGCACCTGAGCTGCAGGGGAGCCCAGGGAAAATCCAAGGGGCAGTGGTCCTGGGAGACAGCGTAGATGGCTGCAGGAGAGCTGGGCCCAGGAGGGCACTGCTCAGAGTGGGGAGCTGAAGACAGGTCAGGATGCAGGCCCCTTCCAGCCTGGGGTTGTCCCAGGACAAAACCCTATCCGTCTATTTCCCTCGAGTTGGAGACTGGAGCCAGGAGCTCCTGGTGGGGAGGTGGTAATGGTGATGATGCTTGTCGGGCTGGTCTTCTCTACCCTTCTGCACCCTCTGCCTGACTCCTCTACCAGCCCCAGCTCTCTGGAGAGCCATGTCTAGCTTTGCCCTCTCAGTCTTCCCAGCTGCTCAAACACAAAGTGCCTTTATGCAAATTAGAAAAAGGTGTCTCTTCCTCTGGCCAGTTGGATGGCCTATGCAAAATATCACCTGCACAACTTACATGGCAGCTCGCCCAGCACAGGACCAGAATCATAGCAAGTGCTGAGCACACTCTGTGACGTAAGGAGCGAACGGTCCTTAGCAGTTGTGAGAGCCACCCCTTCGGGGGTGTTATGTGGCAATAAAAGCCACACTGAGTGCTTCCAACATGATTTTGTTGAGTGAGAGGGGAGGACAGAGAAGCTACCCGGGGCTAGGAAGTGGAGAAAAACATTTCTGAGACCCTTCTCTACTTCTCTGCTTAATGACCTCATTAGTAACTGCCAAAGAGTGAACACTTTGAAGGATCTCGCTCATTATAGCAGCTCCAAACTCTGCATTTAAAGATGGTAAATTAATTTTTTTAATGTACTACTTTTCTCCTTTCCTTCCCTCATCCCTCCCCCCTGCTCTGGCAGGGAATTGTTTATGGGATGTGGCAGATTGTTACAAATGGGGGAGAGGAACATTTCCAAATTCCATGAGGGAAACAGCTCACAGATGCTGGTGGGGGTGGGGAAGAAACAGGTTTGTCAAAATCCAGAGATCCAGATGGGCTTGCGGGCAGGGAGGAGGGGGGAAATGAAACCACCCAGATGTGCTGGGGACTGTATCTCCCAGCCCATGAGCCAGAGTGGGGAGGAGCCCAAGAACCTGAGCTTGGTGGGGTCTCTCCCACCTCTGGCTTGCCGAGCCTCTCCCTGCCTCCCTTGCCAGCCTGGAGTCTTCATCCTTCAACAACAGTCCAGATCCTCTGGCCCTGCCCCTTTACTCTGGGATTCTCTGGCTTCTCTTAGCAGGGAGGGGAGAAGTGTGGAGCAACGTGGTAGGGGGCCGGCCCTGGCGGCCCAGGGAGGTGAGTGGGGATCCAGACGGATCCCAGCCACTGGGATCAGATCAGAGACAATTCCAAGGTCAAAGTCAGGAAAGTCTCTATTTCTTGCTAGCACAGTGACCTTGCACTCTGCTGCTGGTGGAACTCTCACATTCTATGGATGTCTGGGCCTCACTCCAGACACTGAAATCAAAATCTCTGGGCTTCTGTGATTTCACAAAGACACACAAATGATTCTGGTGAGCAGAGTAGAGGGCATACTTTGCCCCTTAGCTGACCTCCTCTGTCCTAGTTGGGCCAAACTCCTTACCACCCCTTGTCCTTGCCAGGAAGGGGCCCCTGACTCTGGGCCTCCAGGACAGCCTCCTCTACAGGACTATGTTCCTCATTCGCCCTCACCTCTCTAATTCCTATCCATCTGTTAAAGTTGATCTGGGCCTCCTCCTCAGGAAGCTCCTGATGATGCTCTGTTCTGCCTTACTGTCTCATTATGCTGTCAATGTATATTGTGTTCCTGACTGGCTTTGACCTCCCAGGGGATAGGCCCATGTCCTGTTCTCCTTCTGGAGCCCCCCCCGCCCCCCCCCCGCTTTCATCTGCCACAGACCGGGCACTTACTAGTACTTACAGGGACTCTGTGCTGTAACCATCTGGCCTCCAGGAAGGAGGACAGCCCTCTTCACATCTCTATTACATTGCCCCTTGCCAGTCTACCTTAGGGCTTTAGGCCCAGCTTCCCTACTCTAATGTCAGTCCATCCTCAAGGCCAGAGAGAGGAGCTGCTGCAAGCAGCTGGGTACTCTCACCACAAGAGACATGCTAAGTTTGAGAGGAACAAAGTGCATCAGGAACAGGCCTCCTGGGTCTTGTAGGCCAGCATTTATGCAAGAAGCACTGGGGTGCTATCCATGGTTCTGACACACTTGTCCGAAGTGCCAACCACAGTTTTGTACAGATCCAGGGACCAAACTAGTATGTACTAGTCAAAATGTCAAATCTATATGCCTCTGCCTCGTCCATACAAGAGATTTTTTTCCTACTTAACACTAAGTATGACTATTCTTTTAGTGTCTCTCTCCACTCATTTCCTATGGGCCAAATTCACTCTCAATTAACTTGCAGTTACTAGCCTCTCTATGTCAGTGTACAACCATATCTGTTCTCTTCTCTTTCCTGACGGAGCTCCAGGAATGGGCTGGTCTCTTCTCTCCAACCAGGGGCTCCCTGAAGGAGGGCAGGAGGCTGGCTCTCTCTGATCACATTTGGGGTTCTACCAAGGAACAGGCAGAGGGTAGGAGCCATATGTTCCCTGTTACAAGCAAGGGCAGGGACAGAATGGATGAGGAATGTGCTGCATGGGGAAGGAAGGGCTGCCAGATGTGCTTACCTGGGTAGGGGTGGATGCCATTAGCAAACACAGCTTCCGCGGCAGGTTGCCCATTGGCCTGTGGGGGGAGGCCGGTGAAGCCGTTCACCCCAATGGGGGATGGGATGCTAGGCACAGCTGGTGCAGTGATGCCCGGAGGGGTGCTGCCACCTGGTTCCAGAAGTGCAGAGGGGTGGAAGAGGAGGGGAGGCAAGCAGAACCAAGGTGAGGAAGGCTGACCCATGGAGCTCTATCCCTTGGCTCCAAGGGCCTGGGAAAAGACCTCCCAAGTCAGTCCTATCTGTGAATCATGCCTGGGGTTATCTCCCTTCATGGTGACACCACTCATCCCAACTGTATCCATCCTTCAAGGCAGAGTCCAACTCTGGCCCACCCCAAGCAGGCTTCCCTGACCAGTGACTGCAGCATGGCCTTGGACCTGCAGCACATAAACTATTCTCAGTGTCCTTGACTTTGACTACACTTAATCTTCCTTTCATCTTTTTTAGTGGATGTTGCTCACCCCAGCTAAGTCAGGATGGGATGGTCCTTGTTTAGCCACCACAGGGCTACTAAGTTGCTGGCTCTGCTCTCTTGTCTGCATCACTGAGGGGCTGATCTGGCTCCCCATGAAGGAGTTTTGCTACTCAGGTGGGAGGAGGTCTTAATTCTGATGTTCCCTTGCACATAAGGAGAGAGCCCTTTGCAGAGTCCAGATTCAGCCCTATTCATACACCAAATAGACACTGAGGCCTCCTCCAGTGGAGGCAATGGTGATGCCCATTGTGACAAGGATAAAGTCAGGGTCAGATGACAATACCCTGTGCCTTCTCTATGCCAGGTGGGTGGAGCCCAAGGTGTGGATGGCATACTGATGATTATACTGGAAAGGGCCTTCCTCTTCCTATAGGAATCAGGGAATCTCTACAGCTCCTGGATGTCAGGAAGGCTGCCAGTATGGTGCAGGGAGCTGAGGAAGCTGGATGAATGAGAACCTGGGGTGTTGCGCCAGGCCTTGGGACTAGACAAGGGTTTCTTAATTTTGTCACTACTGACATTTGAGGACAGACATTTCCTTATTGTGAGGGGCTCTCCTGGGCATCATAGGATGTTTAGCAACAACCCTGGCCTCTACCTACTAGACTACAGTAGCACTCCCCCTACCAGTTGTGACAACCAAAAATGTCTCAGGACATTGCCAGATGTCCTGGGTGGGTGGGAGGACAAAACTGGCCCAGGTTGAGAATCACTTAACTGAACAATAGCCAAGATCTAATTAAGAACATCCTGGGGAGCTTGGGTGGCTCAGTCAGTTAAGCATCCAACTTCCACTCAGGTCATGATCTCACAGCTCATGAGTTCGATCCTCACGTTGGGCTCTGTCCTGACAGCTCAGAGCTTAGAGCCCGCTTCAGATTCTGTCTCTATTTCTCTCCACCCCTCTCCTCCTTGTGTGCACTCTCTCTCTCTCTCTCAAATATAAATATTAAAAAAAAAAAAGAACATGCTTTATGAATGGGGTTATTTCCAAACCCGCTGTCCTTTAATAATTCTTGAGGTTCTCTCTTGCTTATCTCTCTTGCTTATCTCTCTTGCACTTGTCTTGGGAAAAGCCAATGAATCTAAGTTGGATTAAAGAAAAGTGAAAAAACTGGGGCTCCTTCCCTGGTTAGGCCAGGAACCTAATAAGGCCACAGAATGGGCAAGATTTTTTTTCCCCTCAGACCTCAAAGTGGGGAGGTGTTTTCATGTGAATTTCTTTCTAGAGATCTAGAAAAGAGATCAAGATGAATTGCTTCCTGATATGGCTCAATAACTTGAGTGAAACTTTCACCACCCTGAAATCATATCATTGACTGCATGGGGCCCACATCCCATCTTCCCTTAGGTCTCCAGGGATTCGAATATTTAAAACAATTTTTTTTAATGTTTTTATTTATTTTTGAGAGAGAGAGAGAGAGAGAGAGAGAGAGAGAGAATGTGAATGGGGGAGGGGCAGAGAAAGAGGGCGACAGAATCTGAAGCAGGCTCAAGGCTCTGAGCTGACAGCACAGAGCCCGACGTGGGGCTCAAATTCGTGAACCTTGAGATCATGAGCCGAGATGAAGTCAGACGCTTAACCTACTGACCCACCCAGGCGCTCCGGGATTAGAACACTTACAAACTTCCAGAGGATGAAGCCTGCTTGGGTCCATATACATCATGTGCTCTGGCCATGGGAAGGTCCACCAGTAGATGAAATTGGCCAAATAATAGGTCCCACCTGCTGCTTTCCTGCCACACCAGGTCCAGTGTTGGTACCTGGCCACTCACCTGAGGTTGGGGTCATGGGTGCGGCCGCCAGGCCATTCATGTTGAGGGCCGCCATCTGCTGCATCTGGGCGGCGGCGAAGGCAGCCATGGGGTTCAGGTAGCCGCCCTGTGCGACTGACGCCATTAGTGCCGCTTGCTGCTGCATCAGCTGGGGCAGAGGAAGTGGAAAAAATATCATGCGCTTCCAGGGGGGCAGCCCTCCCCACCAGGGAGCTCAGCTCCTGGAGACCAGCCTCCCAGGCCCTGAAACCCAGGGAGTTCAGATATATCCCCCCACCCCCACCCTCTGAGAGAACTGTATTCATAAGTAATGATAGGGTCTTAGGGACTCTAAAGTTGTAGAGGGGGAGGAGGAGGGGACTGGCTCCATGGGTGCTGGTCAGCCCTAAGAAAGGTCTGTCATCCATGGAGATGTGACAGCCAGAGCTCCAGAGACATGTTAGGTGAGCCTCTGTAGAGTTAACTTGGCATGGATTTGTTTAAGGTGGTCCTAACTTGGAGTCTGTTGGGTAGAAGCAACAGGAGAATCATGAATAGAACTCCGGGCACCCCCAGTGTCCTCACAAAGGTGAGCGGGGACTGGGTAGGTTGCTGACACGGCCAAGTTTGGACACTGCTGAAGAAGTGAAGTGAGCTTATATCTTTAGAACCGGAACGCCGGCCGACCTCAGGGCCACCCCTGTGGGGGCTGTGGTTACAAGTCTGGGGTCAGCTCCCGGGAGACGGGGACAGAGCTGGCTCCAGTGTGGAGGGAAGAAGTGGATGGCCAGCAGCATCTGGCAGGGTCTGAAGGGACTGCAGGGCAAGTGTGGATGCAGAGGGCCTTGGGGCACCTCAAAGGAGCCCTGCCGGGAATGACCGCCTCCCATGAGTGAGGGCAGAGGTAGAGTGGTGACAACCAAGCACGGGCACCTCTCTCACCACTTCCAGGTGGTGCTTCCTAGACTCTGACTAGTGGAAGAGCGCTGAGAGCACCCCACCTTGCTGCCCAGCCTAGAGGCCTCTCCAGCTCCTTCTCTATAGAACCAGAATAGCCGCCCACCTCCGCCTGGAAGCCACCCTGCACTGGCCTAGACTTCTCTTAGCCCCCTCTGGTCTCTACTCCCTGGGTTCACCCCTCATCACTCCTCATGCTCCAGGACAGCAGGATATCCTGGGCCAGGAGCAGGGCTCCCCTCAGCACACTTAGGCGTCCTTGCTCTCCCAGGCTCTGAGCAAAGTGAGCTAGAGAACAGCTGCGCGCACGGCCCCGCCCCTCACTCGGCTGCGCCCCCACTTACTGCCTGTGCGTAAGCGCCGTAGGCCCCAAACGGGATGGCCATGGGGTTGAACATGCCCATCTGGCCGGCCATCTGCTGCATTCGCCGCATCGTGCGCTCCTTGTCGGTGTCGGCAAACTTGACCACCAGACTGGATGAGGCTCCCTGCAGCCAGGACTGCGCGTGAGGCCCACTTGCCCCAGCTGCCTCCTCTCCCAGCTGTCCTTGCCCTGGCGGGACCCACCCGATCCTCTGGGGGAGGGCCCTGGCGGGGGGGGGGGGGGGGGGGGGCGCCCCCCCCGGCACGTTCCAGCGCCTGCACTCGCCCAGCTGTCTGGGATCTTAACCTCACGGCAGGCGTTTTTTAATCTAGAGGCAGTCCAGTTCCTTACGTCTCTGGGCCTCAGTGTCCTTGTCTGAGAAATGGGGATAACGATAACGCCTTCCTGCCTCTTGAGGAGGCTGTGAGCGCCCCACATTTGGCAAAGTGTGCACGGAGCTCAAGGGCAGGCGGGGCCCTGCGGAGCTCTCGGTCCCTCTGGGGCCACCGCGGGGTCCTCACTTCATCCGGGAGCGCCCCACTCACCGGCATAGTCTGGCTGCCGTGCAGAGCGTTGATTGCGGCTTGTGCCTCGGCATGGGAGGAGTACTTCACAAAGGCGCACCCTGGGGGGACGGGAGAGGCTGAGCCAAGGCGTGAGGGCCGGGCCGGAGGAAGGCCTTAGAAGCGCGAGGGCTGAGAGGTGAGTCACCCGAGGGGCCGAGGGGAGAGGGCGCATCCCGGATGAAAGCAGAATGGGTGAGACACAGAGACTGAGAGAGAAAGAGAGACACGGAGAAACACAAAGACAGAACCACACAGAGACAGAGAAAGACCTGGACGGGGACGGAGACTTAAAAGCATCCTTAAGTCTCCCTGCCCCTCTCTGGACTTGGATGGCGGCCTTCCCTTATCCTCAGGCCGGACCGCCTTGCCCCTTCCAAGCATCCTTCCCCGGCTCGCAGGTCGCAGGTCGGGGCCAGCTGGAGGCCCAGGACTGGCCAGGGTGGGGGGGCTGCTGTGGGGCCCAAGGCCTCGCCCGCCCGCTCCCCCGCCCCGCCCCCACGCACCCTTGCTGTTGCCATCCGGCCCGCGCAGGATGGTACACTCCTCGATGTTCCCGAAGGCTTCGAAGAGGCGGCGCACGTCGTCCTCGGACTGCTGCTTGTTGAGCATGCCCACGAAGAGTTTTCTATCTTCTGGAACAAAATTAGGAGATGCTTACCTGGGCCAGAGGAGCCGGGCTGCACGCGGGCGGGCCCGGGCGGCGGGAGGGGGGGTGGGGGGGTGGAGGTGGGGGGGTGGTGGTAAGAGGGTACAACCGGAGGGTAAGAGGAGGAGGGGGAGGAGCTGGGCAGGCAAGAGGGCTCTTAGCTGGAGGGGGAGGGCTTGGACGCAGCTAGAGCAGGAGGGCCACAGGGTGAGGGGGTTGGGAGAGAGGGAGAGCATAGCCAGAGGTGGAGGTGAGGGAGGAAGGGTTGGGTCAAGGGGGCTGGATTGCAGCGACTGTGCCCCCTCCCGCCCAGAGGGCACGCAGCACACAGAGGGAGTGAGGCCATTGGTCTGGCTGCCCACCTATATGGCACACGGATGGCACAGAGGTGGCACAAGGGGCATCTGGGCAACCCTGCATTCCCTTTCTCCTTCCTCTTAGCTACATACTATCTTCTTCAGCCACTTTCACCCCCAGATGCCAAAATTAACTCACAACAGGCAAGTCCACCACAGGGCTTTTGCATCTGTCCTTCCCTCTGTCTGAAGTGCCTCCCGATCACAAGGCTGAATTCTTCTCACCTTCTAGGTCTCAGTTTAAATAGTGCTTCTTCATCAAGACCCCTCCTTCCTGCTCTCCTTTATACTCTGTCTCAGATTCTGTCTCTCAAGGCCCAGATTCCAAAGGACCATTGTTTACTGCTTTGCTTTGGTTTCTGTCCAGCTCCCTGCCCCCACCCCATGGATGCTCCCTGGGGGAAGAGAGCAGGCCTTGCCTGGAGTGCCAGTTAGTCAGCCCTCAGGACAGAGTTACGGAGTGGACAAACGAATGCCCTATGTCATTCCCAGGGTCACACCTTCTTTTTATCCCACATTGTTTGTACCTCCATCTGGTGTCCCTTCCTTGGTCTGGCCCTTCCTAGTTCATGCTGCAAAAATGTAGCCCTGGACACTTTTGTGGGGCCTGTTCCTGAAGGCTGGGCTCCAGCACCAGTCTCCCCCCCGCCCAGGGGGTTTAGAACCACTCGGTTTGTTGACACCACTTGGCCGTGTGCTTAGGGTAGCAGGGATCACACTGGACTGTGCGGCTCTGTAGCAGCCGCGACTGCCGAAGGATCTCCCGTCCGTCCCACAAGCTTATTGCGATGTGACGATGTGACGTGAAGTCCTCCCACTGAGGTGGGGCCTGTGCTCCCTCCCCTCGAATCAGGGTGGGGCTGTGACTGCTCTAACCAATAAAAAATGGCACAAAGGATGCCTGCTGACTTCCAAGTTAAGTCATAAAAGGGAGGCGCTCCTACTTGGCTCTGTCTTTGGGAATGCTTTCTCTGTGAGAAGCCAGCCGCCCTGCTGTGAAGAACTCACGACTCAAAACTAGCTCACAGGAAAGTCCCCATGAGAAGGAACCCATATCCCCAGCTGACGGCCAACATCGACCACCAGACATGGGAAGAATGAATCTGCAGATGATTCCGGCCCCCAGCCTTTGAATCTAACAGCTGAGGACCAGGCGTCTTGGAGCAGAGATAGGCCTTTCATGCTGTGCCCTGTCTGAATGCCTAACCCCCAGGATCCATGAGTGTAACAAATGGTTATTTTACACCACTCAGTCTGGGGCTAAATTGTTATGCAGCCATAGGAGCTGGAACAGAATCCCTGTGGAAGCAGCACTCAGCAGGCACTCACTAGATGTTTGTTGATTCTCGAATGACTGACAAACAGAGGCACACACAGCCTATGTGCAGAAACGTACACCCCCAAATTGCAAATGGCCCTGAGTTCTGGTTCCTGCGAATGTGAGAGCATTCTGAGTCTATGTCTCTCTGTACTCAGAGTACTTGCTACCTTCTGCCCCAGAGAACCTCCCCATGCCCAGACTGCCTGGTGAATTCACATAGACCTGAAGAGGTGTCCTGGGGTCTGGAGCAAAGCAGAGGAAACCACCTGGTCCCTGCACTGCTTCACAAGCCACCCCAGAGTCCTCCTCTTCAGGAAGCCCTGACCTCTGCCCTGTCAGTACCTCTTAGCCCAGAGCACTTAGCACTGGGCACGTCCTCAGTGATGAGGTAGTCTTGGGTCCCAGCTCCTTCCATGCCCTACAGGGCATCATTGCCAGTTGTTACTGCTTCTGGACCAGGGCACCCCAGTCTAGCCCTTCACCATTAGTAGGCTTCAGTCAAAGCTCTGGGGCCTGGAGCCCCTGCCTAGCCACCTGCCCCTGCCCGGGCAAGCAGGTGGCTTCTTGGGCCATTTCAAGGCCAGGCACACCCCGGCCCCAACCTCAGGGCTCACAGACTCCAAATTCTGGGCCAGGAAACCAAGAAGAAGAGAGAGAGAGAAAGTGGAGGGGTGAAGCTGGGGAGGGATGGGGGGAGATGAGGTTAGGAGCGGAGGGAGAAGGAAAATGGCAGAAATGGAGGGAAAAGAATCAGAAACAAAGAGCATCGAGCAGAGATGGCAGAGGAGAGGGCAGAGACAGAGGGGAGAGGGGCAGTGGCTTATGTTTAACTCCCAGAAGCAGCAGCAACATTTTCCATGAAGTGGAGGAAGCTTCTCAAGCCTTCAGTGGAGTCGTGAGTCATTACAACTCTGCACGCCCGTCCCCCACCCAGCCCCAGCGCCTTTTAAGGACTCCAATTAAATGGGATTTCCGGAAAGACAATGGAGTGAAACCCCCTGCCTCCTGCTAATCCCTGGCCCTCAGGTTTAGAAATTCTCCTCCCTGGGAAGGAAAAAGGAAGGGAAGAGGGGGGCCCCTCCTCTGTCTGAGCCTGATTTAAATGCTGGGACCGAAACCCCGCGACTTCTCCTCTCTCCTGACATCTGAATATATTCCTTTATTATCATTATGACAGCCTTCTGATTGCATTAAAATTCATCCCCACGTGCCTTTCTATTCAGGCACTTCCCTTTTGCCAGTTTTTCCCCCTCATTTTTTTCTTCCTCTCCCCTGAAACTTTGTCTTCCTTACAGTTCTCCGTTCTCAGTTCTAGACCAGGGCCTTTCCTTCCGGAGGACTTTCCAAACTTGTAGGGGGCCAGGCTTCTCCTCTTCCTACTCGGAGACCTGGACGCCCAGATTTCCCCAGGGAGACTGCAGCTAGCGTTGCCTTTCTAGAAGACTGCAAGAAACCCAAGAACCCAGTCCCATTGCCACTCCCCTAGGTATTCTCGGGTGAGTCCTCCCCACTGCCCCACCCTCACTCCCCTAGGTGTTCTCGGGTGAGTCCACAACCCTCAGATGTTGGTTGGTTCCGGGACCCTCAAATGCACCCAGTTTGCATACTCTTCGTTTCCACCTGGCTTTGGTGTGCTTCTAAGGATTCTCTTTCAGACCAGAGGCTGGAAGGACTCTTGAGTCCAATGGTGGATCTCCTTGTGGCCCAGGCCCACTGGCTTAACCCCAGCACCGCTGCCTTGCCACTGTATAACTTCTCCCCACCTGGGCTTTAGGTCTACAGAACAGCAATAATCAGTCCTTCCTCATGTGATGGATGCTAGGCTTCCAAGAGATGCTACAGGAGCAGAACCTGGCCACCACCAGGAACAACAGAGAGGGCCATTACTCCAGGAGGAAGAGGAAATGGAGGGCCACCCCTCCCTTCATTTGCCCTGCCCTAATTTGGCTAGGAGGGCCACCCCTGTGTGTGTCCTAGATGGGGAGAGGTCATCTCTGGGGGGACCAGACTTATGCTATGGCTGACCAGCCAGCATGGACAACCTCCCCCTGTCACCCCGCCCTCTGTGACCTCCTCTCCCTCTGGCTACTTTCCTGAGGCACTGTCTCCAAGTTGTGTCAGATGACCAATGGCACCATTTGGCTGGTGTCTTGGGTCTATGCCAACCTAGTGAAAGTCTCAGAGGATGACTCAGTTTCCCCAGCCAGCCACCCTCTCCAACATCGACACAAGACCCCTGACTCCTGGACAGGCTAGGCAGTCCCTGACCACAGCCTGCCTATCTGACATGATACAGGGTCCCTGGGTAATGGTGAGTCTGTGGTGTTCTCACTCTCCCCTGTAAGCCCGCAGCCTTAAGCCCACAGCAGGACCTTGGGGGGGGGGGGGGGGGGGGGGTGTTGTTGTGTCTCTGAGGAGGTGAGGCCAGGAGAGACCACAGAGCCAGGGGTGGAGATGGGCTGAAGACACCCCTGGGTGGGAAGTCATAGGGCCCAAACATGTGAGCAAGTGGAGGCTAGTGACTGGACCCCAGTACCTTCCCCTCAAGAGAGCACAGCTTAAGGTAGGGGACTATAATATGTTCCTATTCTGGTTCCCAGGGCTGAGCCCAGTGCCAGACCACCCCCACCCTCGAGTCTTCACATGGGCTCCTCCTGTCAAGGGACAGAACAAGGGGAGCGTGCTCCTTAGTCATTCAATTGTTTGCTGAGCCCTTTTCTCTGCACCAGACACTGCTCCAGGCACCACGCCTGCAACAGTAGGCTCACTGGAGCTGACGTCCATCCGCTGATGGCGACACAGGCCATCTGCAATAGACAGTTCCCAAACAAGACAAAAGCCACTGGGGCTGCCATGCAGTGGCCCCCAGAGCTCGTGTGCCCTCCCCGCAGGGCTCCAAGACACACAGTTGTAGCCTCTCCGGGTCTCTTGACTTCCGAATCCTATAACCCCTTGCTCCTGCCTCCCTGCTCTTTTAAAAAGTGAGTGCTTGTGTCTGCGGGTGTGGGGAGCACCTGGGGTCCTGGGGAGCAGGAGTGTGACACCGCAGAAGGGCTGGGCGGTGGAAGGTAGGCGCTACTCTCAGCTCTGCCTGAAGCAGAAGGCAACCCTGCTTTCTGTGCCCAGTGTCCCAACGACCACTGCCAGGGAGTAGGCATAGTCTACAGCACCCCCAAATAATGCATGGGGAGAAGTACCCAGTTCTATGTCAAATGAAGGTGTTTACAGCCACCTCAGAAGGGCCTGGATCAGTGCACCTGACCTACCGCCTAGGCTCACCCTCTGGTGACTCCTTCCGTGAGCATTTAT